TGTTTTTCTCGTTGCCATGTTCCCACCAATAACGTAGCTCCATTTTCTGCCTTTAAAAGCACACACAACCCACAATTCCTCTATTCGCTCCGACGAAGGGCTAACGCTCGAAACGTCAGCTTTTGTAATCGTTACGGTGGCCAATTTACCATTTCAACTTTGTTGATATATCCAAATTGCTTCGATAGGGATATTACTTCGTTAATATTTTAAGACAATTCTAGCAACGATAAGTGGTGACAAAACAGAAGCGCTACAACAATTGTTGTTGATAGCTTGAAAGCCTTTTTGTCTTTCAGATATTTCTGCCTTGCTTCTTCTGTAACTTGCTGCATTGCAAGTTTCTTTTGGTGCCTACGAACTTCAGAGTACACTGTTAACTGGCAGAAAATTATTACCGATAGTACAATGCCCATAAAAGAGTTATTGATGGAAAAAAATAATGGTACCTTACAAAAAGAACAAAGTTAAGAATCAAGGAAATTAACCACGTTAGGCTCGAAGTAATTACTAAACGATTATTTGTGATGAGACTGGTATTTCATGTATAAGTGTGTTTCATGGCTAGATATTGTTCCCCACTGATCAAAGCTAGGTGAATAAGGGACGTTTGAAAGAGAATACCCGTCATAATCACAGAGGACGCTTGCAGTACACACGAAGCTCTGGTTGCATCACCGACCAGGATTCTAATGCAAACAGCTTTGAGCCGGCATTGGCTGAGCAACTATACCCACCGATAAATCGGTCAGAGCCAAACATGCAAGGATTAATCGAGTATGTTGGCCTTGTTAGCTCTCAACCGCCTTTTGGTTTTAACTGCTATTATCACCCAGAAGTTCAGAATAGCAGTTATAGGAGATTCGACAATATTTATGATGAAGAGGAAGAATCTGGCAACTTCCTTCCCATGAAATAGTAGAGGACGCATTCAGGTGGGAGTAATTGTAGGCTTCTTTTGGTTGCATTCATCCCTTATTTGACAATGTGTCTCGATATCTGTTCTCAGTAGATGAACCTATGCTTTTGCCCCTTCACTTGGGGGTTAGATTGCAAGTGTTCCTTTTATAAGCACTAGTTTGTATGTACGTCTTTTTAGTCTTTGTCATGGAAAATAATTCAAAATGAGGAAAAATGCAACGGTAAATCTGCATCTGTTTTGAACTGCACAATCAGTGAACTCACAATACAAACATGAAATTCATTTTTTGCGAATCAATGAAACATTTGCCAAGAAAAACTCTTTGCTTCCCTTCCCTTCTTTTTCTTATCTATCTCGAAGGGAACTAGTGCTTTTAAAAGGACCACTTGCAATCTAAGCCATGCACTCAGACTGATTCAGTTTCAAGTGAAGGGGCAAAAGCAAAGGTCCATCCATTGGCAAAATATATCGAGACACATTGTCACAGAAGAGATGAATGCAACCAAAGGAACCCTAGAATTACTCTCACCTATATGCGTCTTCTACGATTTCATGGGATGGAAGCTACCAGATTCTGCTTCCGGATTTAAAGCTGCTCTGATCTTCGTCCTCATCATAAATATCGTCGAATCTCCTATAACTACTGTTCTGAACTTCTTGGTGATGATTGCAGTTAAAACCAAAAGGCGGTTGAGAGCTAACAAAGCTAACATACTGCTTTCGTGTTTGGCTCTGACCGTTTTAGCGGTGGGTATATTTGCTCAACCAAGGCTCATAGCTGTTTGGATTACAATCCTGGTCGGTGATACAACCAGAGCATCGCGTGCACTGCAAGCGTCCTCTGCGTTTATGACGAGTTTTCTCTCTCAAACGTCTCTTATTCACCTAACTTTGACTAGTGGGGAACAATATCTAGCCATGAAACACACTTATGCATATAATACCTGTCTCTTCACAAATAATCGTTTGGTGATTGCTTCGAGCCTAACGTGGTTAATTTCCTTGATTCTTCATTCTCCTTTTCTTTGTGATATGCTATTATTTTTTCCATCAATAGTTCTTTTGTGGGTATTATACTATCGGCAATAATTTTCTGCCAGGTAACAGTGTACTCTGAAGTTTGCAGACGCCAAAAGAAACTTTCAACGCAGCAAGTTACAGAATGAGAAGCAAGGCAGAAATATCTGAAAGATAAAGAGGCTTTCAAGCTATCAACAACAATTGTTGCAGCGCTTCTGTTTTGTTACTCACCACTTATCGTTACTAGAATTGTCTTAAAATACCAACGAAGTAATATCCCTATCGAAGCAAGATTGGTAATTTTATTACTTTCACTTTCGTTCATCGTATTAAATTCATTCCGTCTCTAAAAAGGGGAAAATTGAAATGATAGTTTTTGGACCGCAGAATGCAGTGGAAAGACTGCAAAGAAAACAACAACAGGAAGAAAATCAAATAAACAAAGAAGAGCAAAATTCAAATTTAAGCATGCACGACAAGGTGTTCCGATGGCACGAAAATCAAATCCGACAAGCAAATTCCAATTAACTTACTTAATTTTGTTGTATTGCGGCGCCATAGTATCTAAAATGTACACGTAAAAATGATCTTATTGGGAATGTTTTCGAAGGAGTCAATTGATTTTTCAAGTGAAGAGCATCCGTTTTCGTTCGCAATAAAGTTTGAGAACATGGCAGAGCTGAAAATCGTGAAATCATGTCACATATAAGTTTATTTATTGGACTTCTTCCGCATGAGGAAAGCGTACAGACTACAACTCTGTTAATTATTTTGAATTTATTCTGAAAATTGAATGAAATGGGCACAAAATTATGCACTACAAAATCAAAAAATATCCAAAGGAAAAAAAAAAAGATATACCTTACAAGTAAGAATAAAACAAGCGGCTACGATGGTCTTACAGTATACATTTTTCGTAATATTTCCCCTTGCTGTATCACCCTTGAATCAAAAGTAAAGGTCCAGAGAATAAAGGAAATGATCTTTACATTAGAAAGGTCCTGATTGCCAAAAATTTTCTCTTACTCTGCACTAGAAGAAGTGTTAAAAAAACCGTATGTAGATTATGAATACAAATGTTAGGGTTAGCGGTTATTACCATCGATGATGGCTAACTTGTATGAAGAAAATTGTATCAGAATGAAAATAACAGACCTGAAAAACTCAAGCTTAACTTTTTAAAGATGAAAAAAACGGAGAAGTAGCTCCTCCTTTTTTAGACATTTAAATCGTGGGAAAAATTTTCTTTTCGTCATACCTGGTAGTGAAAATGTTAAAGCCAGGATAATTCGTTAATCATCTCAAAATTTGCCCGTGGAACTTATCATTATATGAGAGGCATCTCAGCTTTTCCGTCACCTTATTTGTACAAACTAAGCACTAGTCCCTAAGGTTGACTCTACTGAGTAGAATTATAAACTGATGCAGTGAGTCGAGAGTTTTTTTTCTTTCGCCAACACTCCAAAACCTCATCTTATTTGTAACATGAACGAAACCTTACAGCCTCAATCTGAGGATTTTTACTGGCTGATTGTGGAAAAGCAGAATTTATCCGCGAAGTGCTTCATTTTTAATGACGATTTTTGTGTCAAGCTCATTTTGACACCCGTAAAGCAAACAGAAAATTGGGGAAGACTATCATAAGTTTTATGAAATTGCCAAATAAGGGACAGCCCTATTCAATAGGATTAAAATCGTAACGTAAATCAAGGCAGATGTTTGGCGGCCTGTGGTCAAATGAAAAAAGGTTAACGCCACATTTCTGTCAGTTACACAAAACTTCGAAGACATGCTTGATTTTTCACGTAGATATGCTGACTCTCAACACTGGGAGAGATATCGCACAGACTAGCGAAATAAGCTTTGAATAGATGAACTGCAACCACGACCGTCCATGGCCCCTTATGAAAAATCGTTGAATGAAGTTATCAAAATTACCCCTTTTATCTCAAGCTCCTTTTTTTTCTTTTAGCTAAAATTTCTTTTGATAGAATATCCGCGAGCACAACCATCGACAGCCCCTTATAAAAAATCGATGAACAAAGTTAGCAAAATTACACTTTCTCTCTCAGCTCCCCCTGTGTTGCTTAAACTTGCCTCTTGTATGGTGCCTTTTGAATTCACTCTGTAAAAGTCCCTTGAAATAGCCCTCTGAGTTACGAGTCACTAAAACGTTCTCTTGATGATCCTCAAAATCGCCACTTTTAAAATATGCAAAAAATTTACTTCTTTTAAGTTCCGTTGAATCTCTTTTTTCAGTTATTTACCTCTGAGTCTTATTTGTACTGAAGTCTTTCGAATGAGTCGCTCGTCAAATTAAAACCAATATCTCGTTGTTAACATGACTGGGCTTTCAACTTGTACTCTGTGACTAATTATTTACTTTAGAAATAAAACAATGTTTATAGTCATTATTACCACTATGTCTGTTTAATCAGCTGAGTAATCATTTAATAATAAGCTAAAATTTATAGATAAACCGGTTGCATCTTCTTGACTGAAGCCTGGTTTATTTGGTAATTCTATTCCAGCCTTCCCTCTCACTCCTTTTAGTGGAAAGTGATTTTAGAGCGCAAGCATGCTTAATGCTTAATTAACTACTTTTACCTCAAGATTCAATTTGTTGGAAGCTATTCTTAGCACACGAAAGGCCCCTCTTCAACCCAATAACTCCCTCCCTGTCTCGATCTTGATCCATATCAGCTTACATTCTCAGCCATTTTCAGCAACATAGTAAAATATAACCAAGGAACATGTATGTTTTTTTAAGTGAAGATACGTTGAACATTCCCTCCCGGTATAATTAATAGGATAGGCACTGGGTACTACTACAAACCCACGTGACTTACCCCTTTCTTCCTCTTTTACTGTAAGAAACAACCCTGAGAACGGATTGCACATCATGTAGGCTTTATAATCTCTCGAAATCTTTTTCATCATGAAAAAAATCGTTAATAATTCTATACAGTGTGAAAGAATAATGTTTCATTGTGATCTTTCCACGTTTATTTTCAACAGTAAGGAGTTCCGCTCTGAGTATCAAAAATGTCTGACGCGGAAGGGTACGTGAAAAGTTTTGATGTGAATCTCTTGTTGGAGTAGGATTCTTAACTCGAGTTTTTCCCGTCGTTTCTCTTATATTTATTATTTTTGTATTTGTGTTGATAGAGATGATGTGCCTACCACAACCACTGTTGGTGAAATGGATGTTAACACAGCTCTTCAGGAAATTTTGAAAACTGCCCTGGTTCACAATGGTTTGGCCCGTGGCCTGCACGAAGCCGCTAAAGCTTTGGATAGGTATGCCACTCTTAATTAATGTTACCTTTTAGCGATCGCCTTGATTAACAGACTTTAGAGTGCATCGATTACATTGAGTTCCAACTGAAGGCTTCTATTTTAAGATCACGTTTATTCTGTTTAAGACACTCTTGCAACTCTCAGTAATGATTAAAATCTAACTTCTCAATGCAATATGGATGCATCACATAGTAATCGATTGTTGAGAATAGGAAAACTTAGCAGTTATTTGGTGTTATTAAAAACTGGGTCATCAGATAATGCAATTCAAGACTTTCTATTGGCTTAGCTATTATGGTATATGAGCCAATATACCATAATCTACTATCCGTACATTGTAACATCTGGTTTCTTCTTACAAAATAAAATTGAGAAGGTTTGTGTATTATCTTGCCACGTGCCTCGTCGGCTATCTATCATCTCATATGCAATGTGTGCTTGTGGAATAATTGTTAATTATCCCAATAGATCACAAAGTGATCCTCTCGTTATACAAAGAATTGTAGAAAGTGAAAGGGAGAATAGTTATCAGGAACTGGTGCAGAAGTTCAAGTAGTAACTGGTCTAGTAAAACTTTTGTCTTAATTTCTGTTTTGACATTGTAGATGAAAATATAAACAGTTTCATATCATCCATCTGTGTTAGCAAACATCTTAGATGCCCCTAGCATTCCTTTTATTTTTATTCATCAGTATTTTGAATTCCCTTTGGGGTGCATTTATTGCAACTATGAAAGTGTCCTGTTTTTAAGAGACAATGAGGAAGAGCAGGGGAAGCTTTGTGGAGGTTTCTTACCAGATTGGTGGTTTTGAATTGGTCTTACCTGTATTTTTTCTCTTCTTTTTAGGCGTCAGGCTCACCTTTGTGTCCTGGCCAACAACTGTGATGAAGCACAATATGTTAAGCTTGTTGAGGCATTGTGTACTGAACACAATATCAACCTTTTAAAGGTAAGTTTACAAATGAAGATTTACCTTACTGAAGGTGATGAATGTTAATGTAACATAGCATGTGTCAGGGTTGTCACTAAGCAGCAGCTGAGAAATCTCATTAGATGAAAAAGTGGTGATCACCAGCTGGATTTTTGGCTGGCAATCATTTGGTAAAGCACAAATGTTCACCAGCTTTGAGCCACCTCGCTTGAAATTTCAAGTGGCAGTGAAATTTCTTTGCTACAACTGTGATGTTTAGTTGTCTTAACTAGAAGACTGAGTAAGCTACAAGATGAAATATTGAATGAGATTTACCAGCAGATTATTATGACTTTTGTACTATCAGTTAGGTTAGTTAAGAGATGATGAGTATGGTGTTCTTTTTGTGACTTAAGGTCGATGACAACAAGAAACTTGGAGAATGGGCTGGTCTCTGCAAGATTGATAAAGAGGGAAAAGCCAGGAAGGTTGTCAGCTGTAGCTGTGTTGCTGTGAAGGTAAAGTTGACATCTTTGAGATACTTTTGAGATGTAAGGGTGGTTTGAGTGAAGTGACCATTTATAGGTGGTACATATATATATATCTTATTACCTAAGCGCGAGGGCCGTACTGGGAGAAATCGGCCCGAGGTCTTGGCAGTACGGACTGACTGCAGCAAGGTCCGTACAATAAAGACTGAGGGCCGATATTCTTCCAGTACGGTCCCGAGCAAGCTTGGTTAATAAGAGATTTATTACACGACTGAAGTTCAAAGGGACACAAGTGCGGTATCATTCAGGACCATTCGGGACAGTGCCCGGTCCAATACTTAGAGAATATTGGACGGGCAATAGAGCATTTTGATTGGGTGATTTTAGTTATTGGCCCTCTGACTGCCCGAGTCGTGAAATAAATTGGATTATCAATATGTGGAATCTTCCTTCACTCTTTAGCTCTCAGGATCTGATTGTTAATTCTCCTCTCTGGCTACTACCCATTTCCTTGCAAATTAGTTGGGACAATTTTGTGTTAGATCTAGATAACAACTTCTACATGTTTGTTAAGTTTGAGGATTCTCATCACCTGCTTGCTAGATAATGTACAGATATTATAGGGAGAAGTTACATCTCGATCGCTTATAGGAGTAAGAAGGGTTAATCTAGCCAGTTATTGGTTACTGGGATTCCACCATGGACTGTTAAAACCCACAGAGTGACCAGCATTGAACTTCACGTTACAGAAGTACTGCCGAATCGTGAGATTAAAAGAAATGATTGCTGATCTAAGAAGCTTTTATTGTTAAATGTATCCTCCTTGTCACTACCAAGGAAATGTATAGAGAGTAGTGTGGAGACTATGAATATGTCTAGAACTGAGTAAATGTTACCACTTTCCAACAGCAGTAGATATTTTAAGGGGGGGAATTTTTGGGGAGCTCTTGTGCCTGATATGTGTGTTGTAGTGCCATACTGTGATGAAGAAAAGGACTCCCTCTTCTGAAATTCTGTGAGGATATGTCCAAAACCGGAATCCATATAGAACTTCTGAGATGGCACTTGCTTTAAAGTCGCAGCTTTAGTAAGTGGTATATATTTTCATTTTGATAAAATTTTTTTTTGTTTGCTTGTGTTTTATTCAGGACTATGGAAAGGAAGGTCAAGCTCATGATGTGTTAATGCAATATTTCAAGAGCAAGCGTGGCACATAAATCTTGCATTGACTTAATTTGCTTACAAGAGAAATAATAAAAATGTTAAATCAGACTGGTCTCTTCATTTGTAAACCATTTCCTATTTTGATAGAATGGCCTGTCAACAAAACCAACAAAACTGTGTGTGGATATTGCTTGGCAGTGGGAATGTGTTTGGTTATTGGTCATTTCCATCTGAAAAATCAACACTTAGTTAACATTGTAATAATTTTTGAAGAGGTAGAGGTGGGGCTTGTAGAACAGTTACTGTATGAAAGGGATGTGTGGTAAAGCTGGCCTTAGGGTGATGCAAAGCGTTTTGGCCATTTGTGCTTGGATCTAAACCAAATGGTAGACTGGTTGAATATGAAATAATTTGGGGATTTTTAAAGTAGGTGGTAGGTGTCAATGAGGATTACTCCCTTTGTGTTTTCTGGCTGGCTATTCTAGCCAGATATTCTTGAGTCTTGAGAAAATAGTCCCCTACTTAGCAGAACAGCCATTGACCTTGAAATCATCTGCTGATTGTGTGTGTGTAAAGGGTTAAGCCAATACATCACTGGTAATTGACGCTTTAAAGAAGTGGGCCAAAAAGTATTCAGTCATGTTTTGAAGTTGGTTAAACCTTTAAATCTCTACGTACTTAGATAATTTAGTCTTTCACAGTTGTAACAAGTCAAGTTTGGAAATTTCTCGAAACTTATTTAGCATTTCTGTGTTCGAGCTTGATGTTTGATGAAGGTTGCCTGGGCTCTTTGATTAAGATTTCAACACTTGGTGCAGATAGAGTAAAAGTTAGCGTTCGCGTTTGGGCAATAAATTCTAGTACAGGCTCATCTACCAAAAACCAGGAAGTGTAACAAATTCAATCTTTATTAGCGAAGGGTAGGGAATGAGGAGAATAAGCGCCCGGAAGCCTAGGTACCAGTTTTAAATCTGGTTAGTCACGAGATCCGAAATCGAAAGAGGAATAAAAGCTCGTGGATAAAATTAGGTATTGAGCAAGATAACTAGCACGAGGAATGGACGGTCAAGGGAAGCCTCCGCCTTATAATTACGGTGCTATTCCAACAGACTCTGGTTATGCAGCTCCACCGCCTTATCCTTCGGCAGGTAATCTACTAAAACGTAGATCAGTCCTCATAGTCGTAAAAAGGCATCTAAATAGAGGGCTAAGGTATTTGGTGTTGATGACGAAATCTGCTGTTACTTTTCTGTGAAAAGCGTTTCGCTCAGTGACAATTTCGATGATTTGGGGGACATTATGAATCGTTAAAAGCCATCCGTTATTGCAGACGTACTTGTACTTTAACTCGATCTATTTTGGGAAGAATTACATGTTGTTTCAAACGCGTGAAAGACTGATTAATTAATGAGAAATTGGACATTGAGGAAATGCCTTTAAAATGTTGAAAGCTCCCTTCATTTCTCCTTATTCATTTATCTTTATCATCACGCGAACTGCCTCCTTTGAATTGTATCGCTGTTATCTATCTCTCCCTGATGGTTTATTGTCCGAACAGACGCATGTTCAAATTAGGCAATCATGTTTGAAATACCCCTGTGGCCTTTTGGTTGCTCAGTTAAAAGAGTTATAATGATAGGAAGCTGTTCTAACCATTGTTATCTAAGTGGTTAATATTTCAGAGCCAATACGATTAACTCTGTTCCATTGTTAAGTCTCATCTCACAGCTAACACCTGAGAACTAATTTCACATGGAGAAGAAACTTGTTCCATTGCAGTTTTGCTGACTGATAAATTATTTTCCAAATATTGTTTTGTTTAATATGGGGTGAAATCTACATTTCTTGAGGAGAAAAATCTTTTTGAATGATCGTTAAACTGGAACTTTTGAAGGAAGGGCTCCAGATGGTGGTTTGTGCAATCTTCTCAGGACATCTTCTGAAGTCCTCGGGAATCTTTGAGATCACTGGAGAAAACAAGTCACTAATAAAAACATTTCTTACAATACTAAGATGAAATCTAGTATATGAATCTAAAAAATAGTTGTCAGGTACTTTGACAGTGATCCACAGATAACTTTCTCCACTTTAGGGAGTAAACAGGGTGCCATGATGGTATTAAAACCAAATTTACTGAAGTAAGTTATCAAATCAAATCAAATCAAATCAATCAATTTGTTATGTGAGCATACATAAAAGGAAACATCAGAGATTATCCCTATCGAGGACGCTCCCCGCATAAAATATAAAACATATATATACTAAAATGTAAAATTTAAGGATTGATCATCAAGAAATGGGTTACAAAAAATTACAAAATTTTACAATACTTTCTAAGTTTACTATGAAAGATGTTGAAATCCTGTTCATGCACTATCTCTTTAGGAAGAGCATTCCACTGTTTAACAGTTCTAACAAAGAATGAGTGCAAAAAAACAATTTACTCTAGCTTATGGCTGTCTTAATTTAAATGAATGGTTCGATCTTGTTTTACTAGATCAACTAAATTCAAAATAATCATTGCAGTTGAGGCCATTAAGACCATGAATAGTCTTGTAACACTCTAGCAAAACCATTCTGTTACAGTAGTTTTGATTATTCATATCAAGATAAGTCGCCAGTTTCCACTAAAATGTAACAGGTTTATTTAATTTAATCAGCAAGAAATTCATATCTTTGAAAAGTGTTTCACTAAACATAGTTGCATCTTTTGTGCTTTTTGGAATTGAAATTTCTTCTATTGCATTCATCACTTCCTCTGTAATATTGACAAAATGCAAGGTGGCCATTTTGAAATTTAGTGCTCCCACTATTATCCTTGACAAATCAGAGTGTATACATCTCTATAATCACAGGAGCCATTATACTTACAGCTCGTATTCCTTGTTACCCATATGGAAAAGCATCGCAACAAGTGTTGGAACTGAAAACTTTTGCTGAAAATATCTTAATGTTTAGGATTTTGTGAAATTTGATAAATCAGTTTTTCCATTTGCACTTGTTAGATACGAGGTTGGTAATAATCAACTTGGTGCTGTGCCTTGTTGGCTATTTACCATCCCATATCCAATGCATGTGTATGGGATAATTGATGAATATTTGCTGGTTGCTTATTTGTCTATTTATTTTATTTCAGGACCAGGGTACCAACCACCACAGCCTTACCAGGCTCCTCCTCCTCCAGGTATACATCCTGTGAGACCCACAGCAACAACAACAACAATCATTTCACCACCTGGTCCTATCATTGTGAACATGGCTTTTGGTGAGTCTCCGGTCAGCATGGTATGTCCACATTGCCAGACACACATTATTACGTGTACAACATATCAGGATGGTACCTTAACATGGTTGTCAGCTGGAGCTCTATTCCTCTTGGGGTAAATTGAATTTTGATCCATCATTTCACTTATAATCTCACCCAAGTTTACAAATTGAAATGTGTTGTGTGACTACCATATTTCTTCACCTATAAGCCGAGCGATTTTTCACAGTTTTCGACCCAAAATGTTGGGAGATTTTTCATGTAGAACGGGGCTCAGCTTGTAGCCGAGGGTTTTAGATTTTAAAAATATACAGTTGCTGAATAAATTTACCCCCCTGGCTTGTAGTCGAGTTAGCAATGAAGCAGAAGTAATAAAACACAACAAAAATAACTTCTGAATATTGCTTATTCACTTTAATGAAACTGGTGGCTCCTAAAGGAGCCGTTTGACGGATAAGTGCAAGGGCTTTCAACCCAATGGTTTACTCATCATCTGTTTCGTTTTCGCTGTCTGTCTCAAACTCGTTCTCTTCCATGTCTTCATCATTTACTTCTGGGGTTTCCTCAGAGTAGACCACGTCGTCCTCTGTTCCGTCCAAAGCATTGGAAATACCACAGGTCTTGAAGGATTTGATGACTATCTCTTGGAGTATCTCTACCCATGCTTCCTTGATCCACCTGAGAACAAGATTTCTGCTTGGCACCTTCTTCCCAGCAACAACAACAACAACAACAACCTTTATTTATGTGTCAAATCTAAAATAGCAGTTATACAACCACTAACTGGGGACACTAAATACTACCTAAAAATTTGAGAAATTTAAAAATAAAACAATATATATGTACAATTTAAAATCTAACCTAAGTCTTACATAAAAGGCAGTTGGGGTAAACTCAAATGGCCCCAATGTCATCCATGCCAAGTACTTTCAGCACACATTCTCTTAAAATGGCTTGTTTAGGCACTCATCCAAGGGCTGTACAACCGGGGTTAGGCCTCCAAGGATAACTGTGACATCAATGTTTGGCTGCTTCAGATCATATTTCACCAAATTGGTCAAGTGAGCTCAGAATGAGTCGCACACCAAAAGGGAACACTCGGCACGTGGCAAACTCTGTCGAATTTATTCTTGGATGCCCTGTTCATCCGTCCACCCTTTCTTATGGAAGGAAGCACGAAGAGGATGTGGCACAACTGGATCTCTCGGTGTACGGACACCTTTGAAGATGACTTTCAGGGGCACCTTTGCTCCATCGGCAGCAACAGCAAGAATGATGGTGAAGCTCCGCTTTTCCGCTCTGCAAGATTTTATTGGCACTGTTCGGCTTCCACTGAATTCCAGTGTTCAGTTTGATGGCAGCTCAAAACACATGGGTGTGTCATCCATGTTGTCGATGTGGGATAAGGGTAGTCGGTGTGTTTTCTTGCTGCAATGACAAAGCGATGAAACCGCACAATTTTCTCTTCAAGATCGGCGGGCAATCACTGGGCCAGAGTTGTTTTTGTTTGTAGGCTGACTGAATGGCATAGTTTCCATTTCTCATACCATCCACGGGAAGCTTTGAAAGAAGGATCATCGGAGAGCTCTTTAGCTTTAAGGTGAAGCATCAATCCACTCACAGCAATACCTACGAAAAATAAAATAACAATCTTATTTTGCTGCGAGATAACCGTAGATTCGTGACTGCAGCACTCTTTTCGTGACATGTTATGAAACTGTCATGACAGCAACATATTTCTGACCAATCAAAGTCTCTTTCGCATGCACTGAAAGATGTCCTTCAACTCCTCAAAAACTCTGAAAATTTCAGATAGAAAAAGTAAATACCAACCTTGTTTTCTTTGCTGTGAAAACCACTCTATCACTTGCTGGTCTAGTTCAGGATATTTTGGAGTGAAACAGCCTGTTGTCGCACATTTTGTAGACATCTTCCGCTCACCAGAAAGAATAGTCGCCTGGTCTCTTCTCCGGCATTGTACCGTGGACTCGCTTAGTCCACATTCTCGAGCGATTTTGGAATTGTTTTCTTCAGCTTCTGCGATAACTTTTATCTTGAAAGCCATACTATATGAGGAACGGTGTGCTTTAGGCATGATGATAAAACGTAACAGTGACGAAAGGGATTCTTGATCGATTGATACTTTGAAATGTTTAACTGAGATTGTCGTGCTGGTTGATCTGTTGTCACATGGTAGTATTTATACACGTCATTGGATCAATTGATCTTTGTATCTCTTCAATGGTTCACTTTTTTTCTTTTGTGTTTATTGTAATTCATTAGGTTTTGTGTTTAGTGAGTCAATTTCTTATGTTTTCTATAAGGTTTGCTAGATAGATAGTTTATTTGTAAAAAGCTTGCAGCCACTAACCTGAATTGTGTATTTACAATATAGTATAAAATATAATATGATATAGTAAAATTATGTATAAAATAATATCTTATTCACCGAAGGCCAGGTGAATATCGTCGAATGATCCATGAGATGAAGTCAAGGGAATTATTTGACAATATTCACCGAACCTGAGGCAAATAATTGTTTTGGTATAATTTCAGAGCTGAACAACTGAGAAATTTCTAAAATCATAACATTTTAGTGACATTTATTAACATTTTATTTTAACATTTTATATAAACTGTGTGGAGCAGTTTATATAGCATCATATAAGGAGCAGCTTGACCAATCAGACTGCTGGAAACTCTTTGCTCAGCTCTGAAATTATA